GTGGTTCCCCACAACCACGATGGACAGGAACTGACTCGCTGACGGCAAAGCCAGCAAGGCGAGGACGCACTCTTGGAACAGAACATCGGTAGCAGTGTCCGTCAGGGCGCCTCCAAAGCACGGCGCTAGCAGGGTGATGACCCAGCCGACATGAGGGCACGTCAGGAGAAAGAGGGCCACGGCGTTGACATCGTTGTCGAGCCCGCCGGCCTTGTACAGCGCGGCGTAGATGTACGACTACACGACAAACCACGCGCAGGCGAAGAGCGCGCTGAACGGCGTCCAGGGGACAGCATCCTTGGGTGGTTTGTCCAGGTAGTTCTTGCTCTTGTCCCAGATTCGAAGCTTGTTGCGGATCTTGCGGTTGCCAAGGAGCACCTGGCTGCCGAGGCCGGTGATGTGGCCAATGATGAGTGAGAGGAGTAGGAGGGTGTTGACATTGCAGGACGCAACGGGGGATTAGGAAGCAATGCCTACCGGAAGGGCGCAATTCCTTTGAGGCTTTCTGAAGGTGGCCATTTTAACGTTCAACTTTATAGAGATTGTATTCACGTACTCCGTGGATGCTAGCTGGAAGAAGGAGCAGTTGGGCAGGTGAATCTACCACAAGGAGCCCACAACTCCATTTTTTATTTATTTAATTTAATTGCGATTCAGCCACATCATATGATTTCAGTTCCGTTATCCTGGGCGCAACTTGGCAGCTTCTGCCAAGCACAAACAACCCCTACCTAACGCCTTCACAACTGAGGGACATGAAGGGTTAGCGAAGTACCTTCAGAGGCGTTAAAGGGGAAGATTTACAGCCTTCCTTGTTTCTGGTTACGCTTGAGCGCAAATTGTCAACAGACTTTTGTAACCTGGGAAGGCATTTTCTGGTCAGTGTTTAAGGGATAAATCCTTTTTTGGGAATGCCTTAGCTGGGAGAAGTATCTCGTGATGCAATTCACTCACGAATATCCGAGATAAGGAAATGTCTATAAACATATAGATGGGTGCGCACTGCCCAGGCACCAAGTCGAATTGTGAACCCCCTGCATGCAATGGTCCAGCCACCCAACAGACGGGTGTGGCCAGTGAAAAATGTACAGATGTACGAAATAAGCCACCGCATTTCCAAAATGGGCAGCGAGTTGCGTTGTGCAGCAAAGTTGGCGCCCAGATATGCGCCAAATTCAATAGCTCACATCGTGGCGTTCCCGAATCTCACGAGAGATGGGCTTCGCCACCCCCAACCTTCGCAGCCTCACCATCAGATCTCAGAGAACAATTCTTTGGCATCTTTGAGAGATACTTTTAGCGAGCGAGCTGAGCGGATAGGAAGTTTCTTCAAACTTGCAGCATTGAAGAGCCATAGGTAACTTGATACACGCAGGCAAAAGAATGGAGCAGGCAACCACTGGATCAGGAGATTATCGCGAGTGGGCTTTAACAGGTGTTGCATCAACGGTCGTATTCACATGTTTTGTTATCGTACCCCCTATCCTAGTCCTCCGTACTTCCTCTGGGTTTCACTGGACAAAGCTACTTTACAAGTTTCGACTAATCCATGTAAGATAAGAACTCGAGGCTGGCCATGGGGCACGTCCGCAAATCCTCAGCGAACGAATTGACTCCCAAACAATGCCATCAACATACACGCCCTGCAGAGATGACGCCCAGTGCCCCTTTCCAACAGAGGACCTAGTTGCTTTGGCTTCGGCTGCATCTCGATCTGTTCCGCAAATAGCTCTTCATCGCCCCTGCCGTGGAGAAAAAGGGTCCCACTTCCCTCCTCCTACGTCAAGAGTGACTTTTTCCCATGCATCGTCCCGAAATCTTGATCCCCACGATGAGGATCTTCCCCAAGTGGTGCCAGATTTTCGCCCTCGCGCTTCTGGTGCCGTGTTGCATCGCGGGACCAATTTTCACAAACAGTGGTTTCAATGTCAAGGAAAATCAGCCATTCACACTTCAGTGGTCCGGAGTCGCAGGCCGAGTGAGTATGTCCGGAGCCGCCCGAGTGAGTATCGAGCTACTCAGCGGGTCAGATTCTGACCGTCTGTCCGTATTTGCAACAATTGCCAGTGGGTCGGTCCTCAGGACAACACCCCGTCTTTCAACCGTTATGACTATCAGAATTTTTTGTGCTAATAATGCTTGTCTTGATCAGCCGGCCTCTCGGGGACCTCGTTCACCTGGACGCCAAACAACATCCCCGCTGGCACGTATGCCTTCAGGATTGACGACGGGGTCAGTGAGCCCGGCTACTCGCTGTCGTTTCTACACGTCGGCACCAGAGCTGGAGGCCCGTTGACTTCAACTAGTCGCGGTAGCGGTCCAAGTCCGTCATCACCGCCAAGCTCTCCACCTGAACTCCCACCCATTATTACAGGCCCTGGATTGGCTCCGCCATTGTCAAGTTCTTTCTCGACGCCCCTGCCGATCTCATCCAGAACGGCAACATCATCGTCATTTAGTTTAGTCCCGACGGGCGGCCCGCCACCGCAAGCCAGCCACACGACCGGCGGGCTCGCGCCGCCGACTGGGTTGCCACAAAATGGGCTGACCAACAATGACTCTGACAAAGGACTCAGCATCGGCGCCAGGGCTGGCATTGGAGCGGGAGCGGGTATCGGGGCTATCTGCATCATAGCCGCCATAGCCTTTATCTTTTACCGCCGGGGCAAAGCCGCTGGCGCTATGGGAGCAAGTGGGCACGCCGCGTACATTGCCGAGCTTGGAGAAGGGGGCAAAAGATGGGACGCTGGCGGAGTTGGGTGGGAAGCTGATGACGACTCCCGAGATGATCGGATATGGAGGAGGTCCAGGGGCATATGTGGGGGAAACTGTGGCCAAGTTGGCTGATCTGGACCGCGGTTCGCCGTGGTCTGATGCTCTGACCCTTGGTGGCGGCGGTTCTGAGACACCAATGGTGGAGTTGAGCGCGGAACAGCTGCCGAGGATATGATACTCGGTGCTGAATGGCGGGATATGGAGAGACTGACTTGACTGATACCCTTGTAAAATCAAACCTTTGAGGGAGCGTTTTTCTAAGTTGATAAAACTACCTTGGGGATAGAATGCACTTTCCAGCGTCTGTCATGCATCCAATAAGATATTTAGAAAAGAATCAAATAATTGTATATTTATTTTATTTTATATTTCAATTCCTACAGCTATCGACTTCTCTTTGAGTCATTTGGGGAGGTGTAATTGTAACACCAGACCTCCAACCCTTTTTCAAGTACTGACCGAACTGGCAGCCGGACGCCAGTTCAGGGTTACATTAGAGGTATAACGAACTTTTATTAGCACATGTCACCATCGTATCCGTTATCAAATTCGCCAACAATGCACGCCCCCTGGCGAAGATCATAAGGCGGCCCCCAGCTGATCCTTGGCCCCCACTTGGGCTATATGGACTCTATGCTATAGCAAACAGTGTACCAGAAATTCATTTCGCTTCAACTGCAGTTGGTTCCAAAAAGGTATGTAGGTGGTAGTGCCTAGGTGACTCCGACTCGCTAATAGCCAGCCCGTCTTGCCCATCCTGGCAGTGATAAAAGTCACAACACCCCGCCCCCGTTTCTCGCGTGTCGCGTCACCCAAAAATGTTTCCTTCCGTCCGATCACAAAAAATCGAATTCTGCGGCATACAATGAGGCTCTTCCGATGGCGCCAGATTCTAGCCACCTTCCTGCTGCTACTGTTACCGTCCTGCTTGGCACGGCCGGCGATTATCAATACCGATTTCAACATCACGGAAAACCAGCCGTTTACAATACGATGGATTGGCGCCAGCGCACCGGTCAAGATTGAGCTGCTCAAGGGGGACATCAACACTCTTTCTACACAGGGAGTAATTGCTGGTAAGTACCTAAATAAGCCATCCTCCACTCCCCCACCATAAGTGACTAACGGGTTTCTTTTCTCTCTCGATTAGATGGTGTACCAGGAACCTCTTTCGAGTGGACGCCAAGAAACCTCACATCCGGCACCTACGTGTTCAAGATCGACGACGGCGTCAGCGACACCAACTATTCGCCGTTATTTGCCGTCACGACCACCCAGATGCCACAGAACGAGACGACCCAGGTGTCACAAAATGAAGAGAATAGATCCGATGGCGGGCTGTCGACTGGCGCAAAGGCAGGCATTGGCATCGGCGCGGCTCTGGGTGGGATCGGCATAATAGCTGCGATTGCCTTTGTCTTCTACCGCCGGGGCAAGGAGGCGGCGGGCCGCGCCCATAAACTTGCAACCGGCGGTGTGGACGAGACGAGCGAAGGGGCGGCGGCGTGGAGTAAGGCAGAGCTGGGAGAGGGGGATATGAAAGACGGAATTTTGGCCGAGATGGGAGGGTGTTTGATGGCGGAAATGGGGACCTCGGCGAACGTAGCTGAGCTGGACCCGACTTCGTCGTTCAAGGCCAAGGACGTGACTCTCGGCAGCGGCGCAGACAGAGACCGGACAGATGTGCTACCAGTTGAGCTGAGTGAGGTGCCACCGGTTGAGCTAAGTGCGGTAAAACTGCCAAGAGGAGACTCGTAAACTTTTCTTTTTTGGGGAGCGGGTTGTAATGGACTTCCGTAGTACGCCTCCATCGGGGAAATGAAGCTCAGTGACGTCACTTCAAAGGCATCCGGAAGGAATACTTGGGCGCTTGTGGTTACTCATCCACGCTTAAACAGAATGGTTTAATATGTAATTACAATCTACAAGAGCGTGATATATTCTTGAAATGGCCGTATAGGCAGACACCTATTGTCCAAACAATGGCCGGAACAGGGGCGGACCCCATGAACGCAGCGAAGCGCAAAGGTTCTTTCCGCGCATGGGCAACGCGATTGCCGACAAGCTGACAGGGCCTTCCAGGTGGCAGGTTGTATCCACTCCACAATCCACAGGCCTTCCAAGATCCAAGGACCAACCCCCGCACATCCACCGAGGTTAGCAAGGTTAGGTTGGTAGAGTTGCCGAACCCGACATGCATCGAACAAGAGATATCGCTGCATGGAGGTCGGGTGGCGCAATGGTAGCGCGTTGTCTTCCGGTTGACTTGACTCCTCACTGGTTTTTCCCCCATTAAGAAGTCAAAGATTCTGAAACTGGCAAAGGCTCTGGGTTCGAATCCCAGCTCGATCGAACCTTTCATATTTTTTACTTTCGACACATTTATCTTTTTGTTTTGTGTCCGACGAGGGTCGTGCTTTCCGCGGCTGCGGTAAAAGGGAATCTTCAAGTGCTGGCTGGGTTTCCTTAGCTTCTTCGAATTTTGCATTTGCCGGCTTTTCCGGGAAGACGATGTGCTGCATGCACTTTGCTGTGCTTCTCTGAGTCCTTTGTCGCAGTGATGGTCTTGGACTTGAAGCGCAGCAATTCGTCTGGGATGCTCCGCACTTGATTTCTAGCCACTTGACCGGTCTTTGTACTTGTAACTTGACCATATTTGCCAGCGATGCCATCGCTAGCGAGTCCCTTGCCCGGTCACCTCTGCTGTTAGCTACCTGACCCTATCAAAGGAAAGCCGTCTTTCATTTGCTCATAAGTTTCAGATTTCATGGTCTGCTACAACATGAGATTCAGTGGCACGTCAGCTTGGGGGGCTTTTCCGCGCTTGACGACTGATTGCATCCTTATTGGACGCGTCCACTTGAATCGGATGTTGCCTAGGCAAGACTTGTATAGCTGTCAAGAGCCGTAGTCGAGATGATTTTTACGGCAAAAAAACAAGCTCGACTAACACCGGGGCCATCCACTAAAAAGGGATGCCGTGAGCATGAAAAGGGAAGTCGCCAGGATGGCCATTGCCTGTCTCACTTCCTCCGCAGTGCGATGTTTGCGCGTGCATCAATTGCGAACGCTTTCGTCGTTGCCAAGATTCATTTTCGATAGTAGGGTCTTCTTGCGCCAGAATAGGCATAGTTCGTGCTAGCTTTCCCTCTCATTCGACGTGATTGCCAGCTGAAAGACATCGTAGCTGTTCTAGACCCGACACTTATGCCATGCAAGGTCTTGTGGCAAAGGAACCATCACAGCGCATAAAAGGTCGAGATGCCCAAAAGTTCATCATACGACAAACTGCCCTCACGAAACCATCTCAAACCCGTATCGTCGTCGTGCACTCCCACCACTTTTACAATACCGCTCCAAGCCAACTTCATATTCCACGCTGAAAATGTCCAACTCTCCCCCTCCTGAAGATGCTGCCGAGGGCACTGACGCTGCCATCACCATCATCAACGACTGGCCAGAGGACATCACCGTGGTGGTCGACAATAACCAGAACCTGGTATCCGCATTCCCGTTCACGACCAGCACCATCCAGTCGGCAACCTGCACCATTGGCTATGCGCAAGCAGCCCCCTCGCCCACCGCGCAGCCATCATTCGACGTCTCCTTCCAGTCGGGCAACAAGATGACCGTCAACCTCGGCGTCGCCCCGTTTGCCACATCCGCCGCCCCTCCATCCTTCCCGGACCAGAAAGCTGGCGCCGTGCTGGCCCCCGTCAAAATGGGCGGCTCTCCAATCGACTACAACTTTCTGTTTTTCGACGGACCCGGTGTCCTGCCGATCGCCATCAACGCCTTCATCCAGTCCCACCTCCCCGCCATCGTCTCTCACATCGCCACCAGCGCCACCGCCATCCCCGTCGCTGGCGGGAGCAGCTTCCACATCACGGACCTGAAGATCGACCCGGCATCCCTCACGTGCCCGTACGCCGGCATGCTCCCCGAGAATCAGTACTCCCAGACCGCAGTCATTAACTCCATCTTCCTTGTCAAGGAGGCCACACTGATCGGCACCCAAACGATCGCCTCCCAGACAGGAACCTTTGACCTGACGATCAAGGATCTCACCATGTACATCCAGTTCAAGGTCGACAGCTCCTTCTCTGAGATTCCACGGGCGACGGCCCTGCAATGCTCGCTGGGCGACTTCTCGCTGTCTGGAACTCTGCGTACTGTTCTGGAAAGCGTGATCGGGGAGGAAGGCGTGGCGTTCATCTTTGCGTCGCCGTATAACCTGGCGGCGTTCGTGAACACGGTGCAGAACGAGACGGTCATGGAGACGCTGAACGCGGCGCTGAAGGCGAATGCCGCGAAGCTGCCCGGGTGGATTACCGAGGCGCTGGGTGTGAGCGATGAGGAACAACAGACTGCTTCGTAGGCCGAGCAGTTGAGCTAGCGGGTAGGTGATGTATGTACTTACAGTTGGAATAAATATATGATGATAATGAAATGTTCAAAGAGTCTGACAGACACCCGTGAAATTGCTAATCTGAAACTCCTGCTGCACCGCCGTGGTGCTGTTGTTGAACCCAACCCTCGAGCCCAGAACGAAAACGCCGCCTGGAGCCACGTCGACTAAACCAGGACATATGCGGAAGTCGGATTCAAGCCCGGTCGTAGTGTACTTGCCGCAGGGCGCCCGGCGGGTCTCCATGGCTGACACCACCATCACCGCCAGTGCTGCGACAAAGTTCAGCATGGTCAAAATCTTGTACCACGTCGACCCGATGCACGGGATTATGGTGCTCCGGCAGCCGTGGCGGGCTGTGTAGTAGGTGAATATGGCGATTGTGAGGGGAAGATAGATCAGCCCGGCTGCGAGACACATGAAGACTGTGGCGGGTGTTGGGGAGCTCGGGGGGCTCCCAGCCGACCGAGGCATAAAGGCTTCCACGCAGGAAGCCCAGGTTGCGAGGAGCGGTACCACGTACAAGGCCCTGAAAATGCGGCTGGGCCAGAATGATGGCGGGTGGTATCGGTTGGTGGGCAACATCTTGAGTGGTGCATTCGCGGTACTGTGCAAGGGACCGACGTCTGCAGAAGGCTGGCTTATGTCCCGTGGCGTGTATGCAAAGTCGTCGGTGAGCCAGAGGGCCGCCCAGAGTCGTTGCAGTCCCAAAACGGCGACCGGAAAGAATAGCTCGTTGACGGGGAAGCTTGTTGGCATTGTCTTGAGACGTGTCGATACAACGAAACATACGTAGAGAACTTGGAACCCCTGGACGGTGACAACAAGTGTCTTAACGGTATCCCAAGACAAGAAAGTCGCTCGTGGTTTCTCAGGGAGATGTATGACATAGGGAGCCGATGCAGCTACCATCGTCTCAGAGCCATTCCATCCCTCGGCCGTCCAGAACAGAGCATTGGCGGCGGCAACGTCGGCACAGGTCCAGTCGCGCGCACGAAGGCGGCGGTCCGCTATGGCTGCGTATCGCCAGGCAATGGATGCCGGATTGTAATGGGCCAGCATGTCGTGCCATCTTAGTTTCTTTGGTGTGAGATGAGTCGGAGTCGGGACACCAGCTACGACGTGCGCGAATACCGGGGCCAGGCAAAGGGTCAACAGTGATATCCACTCTGGAAGCGCGATATCCTGGGACTGGAAAGCAAGGGGAGTGAGTTTTACTGCCATTGTGGTGTGGCGTTGACAAAGAAGAAAATTCAATACAATGAATCATGATTTAAAGATGATATGATAGAGGAAGGTAGGCACCCCGGTAGTTGGAGATCTGCGGGGAGTCGCCGGCTAAAATGCACTGCGCCTCAGGGACGATGGTGGTATCAAGAAATCTTCGGGCGGTACTAGCCAATAGCGATTGCAGGATCAAACGTTTGCGAGGCGTTTTTGCTGTCCGTGTTCACCTTGTGGTATTGCCAAATTTAACCCGTTGCCCTCAGAGCCTGCTAGCGACACAATCACTTTCCAAGCCCCCTTTTGATGTTTAATCGGCCACAACGCAACAGTGTCTTACAACAGCAACAGAGGCTTGGATACTAGAACTAATCCATAGGCGATCTATAGGGTCTATCAACTGAACTCTTACAATCAATTTTCATTGAAATTTATATGGTAAAAGTATAGTCGATCATGTTTCCGTTGCCTTCAGCACGGGGATAAAACTCCAGCGTAAACGTCGTGTTCTTCCCAGAGGCAATAACAGCGTCGATTGCGTTCTTCGTGATGGTGATGTGGTCATGGTCAAAGTTCCAATGACTGTTAAAGGTCTGTCATCAAAAGGATATCATTAGCACACTTCATGATTTTGAGGCTTGACATGGTTCAGGTAACTTACACCTCTTCCCTTCTGCAATGTCGGCAACCACTGCGTCCAGTCATCCACCAGGTATGCCCCGTCACTGGTCGCAATCTTGACGGCAGCAACCATGTGGAGGCCCTTCCACATGACTGGAATCCAGAAGTCGCCACCAGACACGGCTTTGGCTGATGCGGAGTACGATCCCAGCGTCGGCACGTCCCACTGCACAAGCTCAACCTGGGATGCAGCACCGGCCGAGAACTCGACAGTCACATTGGCCTTGGTCCCCGGCGAAGCAGTGGCTGACAGTCCCTGGCTGGACAGGAACGACTCCTTGAATGTGACGGTGGACCCGGAAATAACAAAGTCGGTCCCGTCCTTCAAGACGGCATCCTCAACGGCGAGAGACTTGAACGAGTTGCCATTCAAGATAAACGGCACGCTCCGGTCTGCGACAGGGCTGCCGACCTTGTTGAAGATATACGCCGAGCTGCTTTGACTGGTCGCCGACGCGTCCGTCGTGCTGTCGGGGAGAGAGTTGCGCACACCCCTGGCGGCGTTCAAGCTGACCTCGATGGAAACGGGATCGCGCCACTTGCCGATGTACCGATCCAGGTTATCGAGGCCGTTGTCCCAGAGAAAGGTGGTGATATTGAGAGACGTGGCTGTGCTCACGACGTGGTCGTACCACTTCCACCGTGCGGCGGCCTCGCAGTTGAGGTGCGAGGCGCTGAACTCGCCCATGATCAGTGGCACGTCGGTGAAGTTTCCGCGGATGCTGGCGAGATCAGCCACCACGGCAGCTTTGTCAGCATCGGAGCCCCAGATCGTTTTGCCCCTAGCTCTGTTAGCATATCTTTGTATACCATGGTCGCTTGGACTTGATATGAAAGGGGGAGTTACCAAGCGCCAAACACAAAATCATCTATAACATGGATGTCAGTCAAAATTATCACCAGATGGGCAACAAAGATCAAACACTGACAAGGCGAGTAAAAGTGGAACTGGAAAGCCCACGGGTTGGTGATATTCTGAGGCCGCTTGAACCACTGCACCTTATCGATGGACATGCCCGTCCCGGACAGCGTGACAACT